GACAAGCCACTGTTTTTTAACAGCGCCCTTAAAATAAGGAAGGCCTTGCCCAACCCCTAGCGGGGGCGGGGGGCACCAGGTTGGTCGGGCCAGCTCTTCTTCTGCCATATTGGTAACTGGCAATGTTTTTAAAAGTTATGCAATCTCAAAACTAACTTGCTGAGGGAAAAGATTATTCACCAAATTGTTGCTTTTTTCTTGTTTTTTTCTTTTTCTTCATTCATTTGCCCAGTAAAAAATCTATTCATCATTTACTGAATCACCTTAATGTTGTCATTCTGAATAATACAATTTCTTCAATCGACACAGGGGTATGAAAAGTTCATCAATGTCAAAAAACAGAAAGGCGTCAGGTGATGGCAACCTTGGGGTCAATACTGTGTGCTGGACACAAGTAACACCCCATCATCCTGTAGCAACAGTTGCGAACATTTCTATCTAACCGATGGCCAATGAAGTTTTCCAAAATTAAACCAAATAGTATTTCGGTGCAAGACTTATCAAACTACAACTTTGTGTAGTATTAAGACCCTGATATATTCTTTTCCTCTGCCGACATTACAAGCGCCTTTTGTCCAAAAATCAATGAGCCACTAGGTTAACATCAGTTGACATAGAGGGACATGTTCTCATGAACTATAAACATAGCACTCTGTAGTTTATTTTGACTGGGCCCATTAAAATGGCCCTTAGCTGCCCCCCAAAATACTGTCACATAGAGGCACCAAATGTGGATTAATTCCCTACAGAAATACGTCACCAACAAAATGCAAACAAATATTCCTCCAAGTTTGGAAGGTTAAATGTTCATAAAACTAGCAGTGAGCCTGACTAGTTTTAAGGAAACATTACTGGGACTTTTTAAAAAATAGGACATGATACAGATACATTCTAAAATCCATTCAATCTGGTTACAGAATCTTAAAAAAGCAACCCAGATCTAAACAGGGGGTGGATGGTAAAAATGATGGCCTGCAGACTGGCACTAACGGCAATGATATGGACAGCATCTGGCAGACAAACCACAACGCTGCACAGCACAAAGGGATAATGACAGCGGAGCAGTGAAACACGCAATTACCTTTAAAATAAAATGACAAAGTTTATCATAATTTGACATTGTTGGAAAGCGATTTTGACCGAATAACATTGGAAAAGTACACAACTTCAACATAATCAAACATACAGAACAATACGGCTCTAGGGTTACAATACAAAAACCGCTTTCGCATGGGCCGAAACTGTAGTGAGGAACAACTGAGCAAAAGTGATACAACCACTCCTAATGATAGACCATCATCCAATATTACAGCAACATTAAGGTTGCCAAAAAAATATAAATGAAATTTATATACTAAGACATAATGTCATCCATCAGTCCAGTTACAAGACATGGAATCATGTTATGTGGATTTTTGATTTCTAATAAAATGAGATACTTATCTAGAATTAACCCGGAATGCTGTCCCAGCAGCCAAATCGAAACAGCTCGCCACTCTGCGCTCTTGTATGCTGTCAAAAAATTGTACAACTAGTACTTTCACAACTGCTACAAACAATTAAAGATGAAAACAAAACATAAAGAAATTGGTGTCAATTTAACCAAAGCGTTGGGGACAACAGCTGCAGACTGTCAGCTAACATGGACCACAACCAAAAAAATAAGAACTCATAAATCAAATAATACGTCTGACTATTGACCAAAGAATGCGTAAATAGGACCAAAAAACGAATATATATAACATCAATTAATTGAACCACACTGAGGAGGGCAACTATTTACACACTGCTGACTATCCCCAACAGAAGTCACATGGAAATAACACACTACGACCAACCAACCCAAAATGACGCTTGAATTACACAATGCTCAAGGCCATAATTAAAGCAATTAGTATCAAAAAAGAATCAGAGAAATGCCTCTCGAACACTTCAATATTCTAATCCAAAACAGAAAAACCCCCAGGCTACACACTTTCACACATAATACCTTACCCTTATGAGAAGACGCGAGGGAAGCCTTGTTATAAATAATAATTCACTTTCATGGAGGTTTCACTTATAAAGTTCCAGAGGAAGATTTTGCTGGGAGTCCTGTCCATTCTCAGCCACTACTCTCTCATCTCATCTCATACTCTCTCATCTCTCACCCACCCATCAACAACAAATCACACTCAAAATCCCTACCCCTTGGCACTAACTAAAATAAACCATCCAATTATACCATGTACTGGGGGCCCATCCCACAAAAAACAATAGACACTACTAACAAAAGAACCTCATACACAACATAACCCTTATGTGAACAACCTAATAACTTCCCCTCATACCCCCCTTTTTAAAAACTCTGCCTAACAAAGACATGAACTTCTCTATGAACTACAGATGGGGGAGGCAATATCAAAGATCACACCTATTAGACAATCCAATACCACCAATTAACTCAACACATCCATGCTTCAACAATAAACAAACATCTCATAGTCGTTATCAGAAAAAAGAACTGATCCACGACACTGTCAGCGGCCAAAACAGGTGCGTCCCGTATAAAAATAAGAGGTAAACAGCTCATTCTAAGATAACATACCTATGAATATTATATTCCATTTCTGACAATAGATCCTCCTGAATGTTACACACTGGACCTTTAAAACTCTTAAAATGCCACAAAACATACCAGAATCAACTTTACCATACAGTTAGTTAATGAACTAATAATTTTATTAGTATATCACAGATAGGCATCCCTGTTGTTCTTTGGTTTGGAATCCATAGTGTTTTCATACATCTAGTCAAGCCTTCAGTCATGGTGACAGACTTAGGATCTTGGAATGACTGGAATGATGCAGCTCCCCCTTGTGGCAATTCAAAAATAAATCAGGAATTCAATATAAGGATATTTACTTAAATCCTGATAATTACGGATGTAACGTGCACTCACCTCATGATTCGACATAATTAATGATACTGGATTCACGATACGATAAACAAGACAAAATTATGGCTAAACCTTTTCTTAGACAAAAATCTCTGAAATACATTTGCTCATATTCTTTATCAAATTATAAAAGCCTTTTTCATTTCTGAGGTAGAGTGAAGTGATCTTTGCGCCTTAATACCACGATTGATATCAGTAATCAGTTTTCATCTCACTGATTTGAATCCTCACATATTTGTTTCATGATTTAACATCTCCTTACATTCCTTTTTTTTCGCAATCTGTAATAAATCGTATATTGGATATTCTACCTTCTAATGTAAATGTATAAATAATGTAAGAGAACAGTGTGCAGTTCTATTCTGGTTTAGGGAGAGACACAGAGATACGATCAGTGAACCAGTGGTTGAATGAGTCCAATCCAGTACTCCACCTCATGTTTTCCTGCCCTCACTCTCTGCTGGAGTGATTACTCTGCTTTACTCCAGCCCAGCTTGGTCCCCAGAGAGACTCACACACACTCCAAAACACATGCTTACACATGATCAGATCAGACCCAGAGTCCCAGTGGTCAGGCATGGAGGTGCTGGTGCTCACTCCCAGCAGCTAAAACTTGGAGCAGCTTGGATGGAGCGCTGCGGTGTGCTGGATGGAGAACCTGTGGACTGACAGCATCACTCTGCACTGACTGGAGACCTCAGCGGCCTGTTTTACCATGGAGTTTGGAAGAGTTTGGTCCAGATATCAGAGAACACTGCTGATCACCATGATGATGTTCAAACTGGGTAAGGCTTCAACATGTGCACTTTATCATAGAAACACATTCTATATATATACATGTGTATATTTGTATTTGTACAAATTCATCCAGAAGTGTAGCTGTAACCATGTCTCAAATGTGTGCAACCCTGTTTACAGTATGTGTGCACATGCATGTTGATTTGTGGGTGTAGTGCTTACTACTCTTCACAAAATTGTGACAGGAGCATACTATAGAAGTAAATATTGGTTTGATAGCCATTTATCTTACAGGTCCGTACTTCCATGAAGTTTCCTAAAAAAAGGACCATGCAATTTAGTGGTAAATATAGGGGACATATTATATTATATTGACAATGTTCACCTGGTACACTTAATTTATATATTTCAATTAGTTGTTAACTCATTTAGGTCAACTGAATATGCAAAAACATAATATTTGCCAACAAGCAAGTTGCACACACGATGAATAATACATGAGTAATAAATAAATGATAGCACACATTTTACCTTTTATTAGAAGCAATTCACTTTCCAGTAAATCTCCTAGGAAATTATGGAGTAGAGTACCACCAGTTTTTTTCACATTTTAAGTTTTTCTTAAATAACAGCATTAAATACATCTTTTAACAGTAGCTCAAGAATCATCATTTGTTGTGTATACACTATATTGTAATCCTGACCAGTAGCTTAGAAGCAAGTGATGTGATAAATGAAACGTTAATTTATGTAGTGATTGTAGTGTTTTTATGTGTAGGTTACTCAGATCTCTACACATGCCACATACTGAATTTGCTTAATAATTCATAACAACTCATTTAAGAGGGTCTAAGTTGCACGTTTCCCCTCGTGTGTGATGAATCTGCAGCTGGTGTCTTGGGATGTTTGAGTGTGTGTGTGTGTGTGTGTGTGTGTGGGGAGGGGGGTTGATTGTCTTGGTCGACCCCCAGCACCTTATGAAACCCTGTTGACCCATTTTTCCCGCGACCTTCATTTGTGTGAGGCGTCTGAAGCTCGTTTAAACGGTGACGGAGCGGAGGCAGGGATTGGCTGCGGGTTGCATTGTTAAAGGATCCCCATGGTAACGAGCTGAGCGTCCGGCTGCACTGCTGCACAGCTTTTTTGTCTCAGCGTTGAATGGAGGGAGTGATGGGTATTAAGGAGCATGGCGAGAGACCTGGCACTTGAGGATTTAAAGAAAAAGACAGCGGCCGAAACTGAAAGCAGAGTACATGTGATGATGAAGACAAGGATGACAGGGATTGTAAGATAGAGAGTTTGTCTTGTGAGACTGCTATATTCAAGACTTCATTTGGCAGACAAGTAGACAAAAGAAAGAGCTTAGCATTTACAAATCAATTTACTGTGAGGAAGCGACTAAAACATTGTGAGCAGGATGGGATTTGAGTGGAAACAGGGCCAAAAATGTTATGAACTTAAGCCTGAACAGCAGCAGTTTCAAGAAAGAAAGAAAACGCCAGCAAAACCATCCTTTCTATTGGCCTCTTAAGGGCTGTCATCTCCAGATGACACACACAAAGTAGACAAGTGCATTCTGGGCTTTCAGTGTAAAACAGTGTCTAAGCCGAGGAGGAGTCGTTCAAAAAAGAGTTGGATACTGGTCACTCAAAAATATGTAAAATATGTAGTAAAATGGTCCTCGTGTGTAAAAGCATACAGTACTTAAGTGTTTTACTTTGTAAGGAAAAGGTTTCAAAATCACCAGGAGGAGCCAACTGATAACTCCTCAGAAATGACTCATCTTATTACCAGAAGCACACACTGGAGTTCACTGTAATGACTACTCCCACCATCTGCCAGAAATGTTTTTGAAAAACCTTCAGATGAAAGTGGCTTTACCTTGTCCAGACAAAACACACACTGCACGTGTCCCCCAAACTAGACAAAAACCTTTGCATTAGAAATGACGCAGCCCTTGCAGCAGTTAACTCTGGCAATAAAAGGATGTGCGTCTGTGACTCAGTGTGTAACTGGGACTGATTCAGAGAGGATTTGTGCATTTTTTCTGTACAAAGCAACGCAGCCACCTGCCGTGGAGCCTTTGGAGCACAAAGCCGAACCCAGGCAGAGCTGCCAGTCTCTTGTGGTGATTCAATAAAATTCCTCTGCGCTCAACTTGTGTGTTAGCCAGGGGCTTCCCTTTCTCTGTGATTCATAGCATTGCTGCTTCCTTTGCCCCGCAGCGAGACTGTCTGTTGACTCTGTTTTCATGACTCGGGGTAAACACTTTCTCTCTCCTCCAGCCTTTTGCACCTGCCAAGAAGAGTGTCTTCATCTCATTGTCTCAGAGGCATAGGCCCTTAAAAACTCTTAAAAATTATAAATGGTTTTATCAACATTTCTTACAGTGTAACATATTCTCACTGCCATCTACAAAACACACATTTGTGTACTATGTGCTTTGGGAAGTTGGGCTAAAGGTTTGCTCAGGCCTCTCTGGCACCATGTGTGATTCAGGCACAGAGCAGTTTTGAATCTATATAATACTTTAGAATCAGAATTAGAATTGGTTTTATTGCACACTAAACATATAAGAAAAATAGAAATAAAGATGAAATGCAGACAATAAAAAAGACAATACATATAAACATATCAAGACAATATGTACAATATGATGTTATTTAAATAATGAGCTGTAGAATTTCTGCAGGAATATGCAAAATATTGGACAATATTGCACATTTCCTCCTGGACAACATTTCAGGCTCAAACATATTGTTTCTTTACTTCTAAAAGTTGTTTCTCTTGACTTCTAAAAATAATATTAATATTTATAATATTTAATATATTGATTAACATCCAGTGAATATATTAGCCTGTCTTATTACTTTATGCATGTCTGTGTGTGTCTGTGGCACAATGGTTTCTGCTAAAGATGTAAACGTTAAAAACAGCTCACAATTATACATTATTCACTGTAGTTTTTATCAATTGTTCTTCAAACATCAGGAAACAGTTGGGGACTCTTTTCAGTGGCAGATTTATCCACTATTGGTGCTCTAGTGAGTATGTGGGGCAGCAGGACCGTGTTTATGGGGCAAAATAGTCAAAATAAACTACAGTGTGTGTGTGTGTGTGTGTGTGTGTGTGTTCATGGTAATAAAGGAACATGTCAGCCAGTGCAGTAGTGTGGCTCACTGATGTGCTTTTATTCATTTTTGGACTACAATGAAGCTCTCATGAAATTTATTGAATATCACCATACTAAGCCTTTAAAAAGTTGTGTTAAGTGTAACAGTTGTGTTAGCAACATGCATCATCATCTACTGTACAAACCAAACATTATCTTGAGGCCATTACCTCAATTTCTTACATATCTAAGAAATCCTGTGGAGGGTTAAGGTCAGAAACCAGTGTTTCTTCTTGTTCATACAGTGTGCTGTTTAAATGCTGTCTGTGCAGTGTTTGACTGAAGGATGTTTTCACATTCATCTGCTGAAAGTGGAAAGTTTCTCTGTGCTCACTGAAAATCTTATTTTAAGTGGCGTGCATGATTTGTGACATCACCAATAGTTAGGAAGTCAGTGCTGGTCCAGTATCAACTTGTAC